TATGTACATTCATCGAGTGTAACAAGCAAGGTTGTCAAAATCAAGATTTTACTTAAAATAATTTTGGTTAGGTGAAATCGAAATCATAAAATCGAATCGGTAAAATCGAGATTTTACAAAATTTAATATATAATATATAATAAATTATATAAAATCAAAATTAAATAACAATAAATCAAATTTAGAGTTAAAAACTTAAAATTAGCTAATTAAAATCTAAATATCTAACAACACAAATAAATTAAACGAAGAAGATGACTTAAATTTAGAATTTTATATGGTTAAATCAAATTTATCCCAAATTCCCGATTAAAATGTTGATTTATGATTGGGTTGTGTGGGTTGTGGGCTTTTAAAATGAAAAATGAGTTTAATTTATGGGTTATCTAGTCAAAACTCACTAACTTAAGATGAGAAAACAAAAAAGAAATAGGTTAAAAGTTCAACTGCCAAACAGAAGGTAAAATCAAGATTTTACCTGATTTTACCGTGAAATCTCCAAATTTTATGAATTTCAGATTTTAGTATAGATTTTACACGAAATGTCTTGTTGAAATCGTAAAATCGTAAGATTTTAAAATTTAAATCTAGATTTTGACAACAATGGTAAGAAGTGTTGCAGGTGCAAATTACATGAGTTTTAACAATATGTTTTATGTGAAAATATATTTATTATACTTTAAATAAGATAAAAGTGAAAAATTAACACTTAAAAAGATTTCGAGCACCCAATTCATATTTTATATGAGCACTTTAACCATCAAGCATCCAGTATTCTTGCTTTTGTTATGCTAAAAATTTTATTCATTACATAAAATTTATATAAAAATCTATTTATGACTTTTATCTGAAATAATTGATCAGTTCGCACTTGTGATTTCGAGTTCGATTACGTTAGGTCATATATAAATGTTTTTTTTTTTTCCACCAACGTTCAAATTCGACCGTACAAATTTGTAAAAAAAAAAAAAGAAGAAATAATTGACCAGTTCAACTGACCTCACCGAGTCAGAGATCAAAACCAGTTGACCTCAGTTCGGTTTAAAAACATTAATTCCAACTTACGATGGCAAATTATGAGATCTTCATTTTAAACTTTTGATTAATTGAT